TCCACAAACAGGTGTAACGTCAAACTATTGCTTTCTCTAAAAAATTTATAGCGCTTATTAAACCACCTTTTTAGAATAAATAAAAAAAATCCTTGCAAAATTTTGATATAAATTATTCCCCCGCCACCGTCTCAAGCCCACCCTTACCCTAACCTTAGATAGTGAATAACTCAAAATGTTTTGATTTGCATGTTGCGAATTAATACCCGTGTATCATACACTCACTATGTGTACATTTAGAAATTTTCTTATTAATATTTCAAATTTTTAAATGAATATTCGAATACTAATAAGATTGAACCAATGAATATCCGAATACTTATCTTTTGACCGAGTAAAACCTTTACACTAAGGTTGATATCATACTAATGCAAACCGGATTTAATCGTACGAGGTACTAAATAACAAAATAATATCAGCACAAAACTAGAATTAACGTTAAAGGGTAAATTTTAGCTCGTATAATAAGTAAATTCAATAACTATAGAAGTCAAATTTACCACCATAGTCGTTTTAAGTTATTTGAAAGTGAAGACGCAGAATAGCCCAACCGTCTTGTATGTTTATGATAAATGTGGGAACTCAATAGAACCAATTAGTCGTTTCACATCTCTATTCGGTATAAAACCTTTGTCTGCACATATTAGCCGTAGATGTAAATGTGAGCGCATCAATCACAAAAATTTACACGTGATTGTTGATCAATCACCGTAAATATAAATTTGTTATTCCTTCACTTTCGAAAGTAATGGAAGACATCCTAGAAGCACATGGAACTCTTTTTGAAACACTTACTGATCAACATGCTTTTGTTCTTTATCTTTTAACACTTCAACAAAGCCGACCACACGACAAATTATGTGCTATAATTTTCCTCGATGCTGCACTGGAGTATAACGAAAATTCTTCGCTTTGTACTCCTGCCTTGTCCAAGATTACAATTGAAGTGATGCCATCATTGAAACTCTATGAAAGGTAACCTGACTTCTTGTTTATATCTTCAAACCATGTCGAACTGGTTTTTACTTCTTTTTTGCATTTTATCAGATGTAAAAACGCAGACATTAATGAGAAAGTGAATATAAACATCTTCTTTAAGAATTTAAAAACATGGAACAAATCACGAGTACCTCGTTCGCTAGAACTCATAAAACAAGACTTGGAACTTGTGCTTCCTATTCACCTGATAGGAATGGAGAATGGAGATAAAGAAGACCAATCATCTCTTTCTAATGAAAACATAGCTGACGATCTGTTAGAATTTGTAAGCCAGCTTGCGTCTTGTTCTCTTTTTACTTCCTTCTCATTCATGTTTACTTTCATTTAGGAAACAGAAAAAGGAATAGTAAAAGATCCTACTAGTTTAACATTTAGTATAAATGGTGAAGATCATACTTTGGGAAACGCTTTACGATATGTAATCACATTAAAGTGCGTTTATTTTTTCACAGATATTAATAATGTGCTAATTATTAAGAATTTACTAATTCACTCAATAATACGCTTGAGTAGTCCCGAAGTAGAATATTGCGGATATTCTATTCCACATCCATCAGAAGATAAACTCAATATCCGTATTCAAACTACCGGTATGATAAATAATGAACATATGTGATTTAGACAAATCCATGAATTAGATTCTTTTAGTAAAACAATGTTTACATCAGTGTTGTTATTGAACATGTTTAATCGACTGGCTAATTGAAAATAAATTCGAGCATATAAAAGTCAACTGGGCTTATACTAATTAGACGAAGGCTAAGGCTAATAAAAAACATTGAACATAAAAGCTAGTAACAACACTGGGTTTACATAATCAATACATCAATGATTCAAACAGCAAATACAGTGTATTTACTATAACAATTTATTAATTACAATCTGTAATTTATATGATTCTTAGAAAACACGACGGCAATTGAAGCAATGCGTAAAGGTCTTGAGGATCTAAAATTCTTATGCGATCATATCAAGGAGACCTTTATTCGGTCAAACCGACGATTCGATCTTCACCACTAACTAGCTCTCAACCCCGGGCGATGCCCCGGGAGCGCAGATTCAATTTTTTCTAGCTTTTAAGTTCTTGAATTTTTAGTTTTCTAGCTCTCAG